TGTCTCTATGACTTCGATATAGCGCTTGTAGCCGTAGTGCATTTCGCTGTTCGGCTTTCGCCGGAACATATACAGTTACAGCAATTCACAATCGCGTTCAACGGCCTGCAGAAGCGAAAGGCCATCGTGCCATCTTGCCATCAGCGCAATGGATGGCTTCTATCATTTATCTGACTCGGTTTACATCGATCGATACAGCCCAAGTGGTCTCAAATGACGCACTGGATATTATCTTTGGCGCACTACGGTTACGTTGTTTGCAGGAGCTACTGAGTCCACGTCCGGTTCCAATACTACTAGCACCGCTAGGCAACAGGGTCGTGATAGTCACTGCTACTTGTGGTTCAGTCATCAGTAATCAACGTTTGCGCTCTAGTAAACCTGGCTATCGTCTCCCCGGGGTTTGCATAGGCGCTGATAATACATCGCTCTAAATGACGTCGTCCAGTCAAGCGAGGCTGATCCGGTAGAAGGAAGACGGTGACGGCGACTAAGCTCTGGTGAGCGAGTACGACTGAAGCACAGTATAATCTGTACTTTTTTTTTGACACAGCAACATATCACTGATGACCACAGAGAGGATAGCCTCCGAGATGATTCACTAGGACATCATTGCGAATGTGTGTGAAGCAAGAGGCCCTATGCAGCATATTAAGTTTGTTGCCCTGGCCTCATCGGCGGTGTTGGAAAACGAGCACTATCTCGGCCTAGATTCAGCATACAGTACTCATACAATACGTAAACTGTTTTCAGTAAGTTGCCAGTAATGATCCAGCTCATTGCAATGATTCAATTTTAAATATGTACTTTTCTAGACTTTTCTAGACGAGCGGATGCGCGACATCATTTCGATGTCACGATATCCTATCTCTCGCCAACTGCAGAGGATCAACCTTGCAACCTCAGTGGAACTTGTGAACACAAGTAATGGAGCCCCACGCTGGCATACGCTACTCCTCATTGCAAGCCATGCTTCATTCTCACTTTTACTTCCAAGCACCCAAGTCTACACTACTTCTTCCCACCTGCCAACATGAAGGCTTTCCAGCTCCTCGTTATTGCCACTCTCGCTGTCGCTGGCGCCAACAGCCAGAACGACAACCTTCGTGGCACCGTCCCTCCCTCGGATATGGATGGCACGGCCGTGGACTCGATCCACACGAGAGACTCACCGACAGAAGCCATCCCCTTCATTCCAACAGGCATTCCGACAGGCATTCCAACAGACCAACCTTTCTAGCTCGTGTGTATATGGCTGTTAATGTCTAGTAAAAAAAAAGCAGCACGTAACAATTTAGCAAGCACTCTTCGTTGTTTTGTGCACGTCTTTTCTCTAGAACAAACGCAAAGCTTGCATTGGACCATCTCAATCGGAAAACAATCCGTGAAGTAGTAGGTGAATTTCCGACGCAAGCAATTGCGCTGTGCTGGGATTTACAACCGTGTACACCGAAAACTGGAAATTACGCCGGTGGGGATACGCGAAGAGAGATGGGCAGTGTCGTGGGCTAGTAGTAGGGCCATCTTGCAAAAATGCCAAATTCGCAGTTCTCCAGAATGACAAAGAATTGCTGAACAATTGTAAAGCTGCTTAATCTCAAAACTTGCTGGTAATAGCATAGCAAAATGCCAAGAGCAAGCCGAGAGATTTGAGTCAAAACTGACTCGACGTGAACTATATCTTGCATCCACAAGTTATAGCCGTATACAAATCGTCTTTATTGCAAAATTGCTGTTTGTACACTACGTAACAGTGTTGATTTTGTCAATAAACAACGTTTGCGATGAATTAAACCTGGTTTGATTTTCAAAATACCAGGGTTTACTGAGGCGTTGATTTTGCGTAGTTCTGGATGACGTCGCCCAGTCGAGGTTGATATGGAAGAAGAGAGACTTCGATGGCCGGTACTAAGCCTTATCTGAGCGAAATGACTTGTTTTTCTTTGTCCTGATACTAGCACGAAAGGGACGAAGAATTTTACGTTTTCATGGCGCAGGAACGCCGTATGATGGTCGCATAGAGGTTTCGGTTTCTGCAAACTGTGCATTCCTTTTGCGCTGTATAGTTAGCTATGCGTGTTAAGTGTAGCTAGACGCTAGTAGAAATATTACACGTAACGAACTTTACATGAAGCTCAAATACCTGGTAATTTTATAGATCTATGCGAAGATTTGTGTATGATAATTTTCAAGATATTCTTTGAGGAAAAGAGTATTTTTATTCATCATCTTGTCATTTTAATTGGACTTGAGTTGATTTGAACTTGTTCGATTGGGCGTATGTCGAGCACAGTAACCACAAAAACTTTGGCGTTGACCGCTTCGAAGCTTACAAGCAGATAAGCGTAACGAATTGAAAGTCAATCTTCGAGACTTCTGACTGTATTTTACATATACTGGTCTTGAATGTACACCTGCCGCTCTTGCCGCAGGAACTGCCTTTAACTACATCTACAACTTAGATCTAAAGCAGTGCCTCCACGAAATCGCGACAGTGCCGTGATCCCTTCGCATGTCCCTGCTTAGCATTCGGCGGAGAACGACACGCCTATTGTAGCAATCCGTTAAGCAACCTACAGAAACCAAAATTGTATTCGCACAATCAGCGCAATGGATAGGCTTCTGTCATTTATCCGAGAATCGCTGAGGCTTGTGGCTCACATCGACTAGCGCAATTGGGCGCATAATGAGAGTGCACTAATCTGTCAATAACAGCTCATGTCGCCGCTCGTTCAGACGAAATTGAGCCCCCCTCTAAACCCGCACAAAGATTTCGAAATATAGTCAGAGGCGAGTCATAGGCGCCCCACTTGAGTCAGTCGATTGGGTTGCCTGTTGTCATTCTTCATTTCTTCGTACGACTACCAGTTCCAGCTCGCGTCGTTAATCAAGCAACAACAATGCAAATTCGTCGAATCCTCCTTGCCGCCGTTCTCGCCGCTATAACACTCGATTCAGTTGCAAGCTCCTCGCACACGGACTCGAGTACTGCCTTGGAGGTCTCGGGTGACGCCCTTGATGTTGTCCTCGGCGCAAGGAACGCGACTGAAGTCATCATAGCAATCAGCTCCGCTTCCGGCTCCAGGTCTGGTTCTAACAGCGCCTCCAGTGTTTTCGCCACCACCATCGTCACTACCGTCACGGCTCTAGCTGCTGTTTTCCTCGTTTAATGGACTGAACAAACAAGCCATTTTGCGGGTAGTAAGACACTAGCTAAACGATATTGTTTTCAAAGACACTCATAGTTCTCTTCTCTTCTGATGTGATATTAATACTTCAGTAAATAACGTTTGGGTTCTGCATTAAACTTGGCATGAGCCGCCAATGAGGCTGCAAAGAATTCCACTAACTAAGGCGTTTTACTGCATAGGACTCCTCGATTCACGACTGACCAAGGCTCCTGAATGAATGGCGACATGAGCTGTAATTGACAGATTACTGTATTCTCAAATGTGTGTTCAGATGAATGATAGAAGCCTGTCCATTGCGCAAATTTTGCGAATATCATATTTAGATTATGTAAGCCGATTAATAGTACGGATTGCTACAATCGTGCCCCGCTCAATGCTAAGCGCGAAAGGATCTCAGCACCGTCGCGATTTCGTAAAGGCTCTCCTCCAGATGAAAATTCAAAGATAATTTTCTGCAGCAAAGACAACCGAGTACATTTTAAGACCTATGTCTGCAAGATACATACACGTAAATGCTAAGTCCAAGTCGACACTTGAGTCTTGCATTGTTTGAGCATGTGTATATAATCCAGAGGATAACCAGAGCACATGCATTTTCTTGAATTTGGTATCTTGTTTTCGAGCGTGTTTCGGTTCTTGTACATTTCCGCACCATAAAACTACTTGATGCTCTAGGTTTAGTGTGAATTCGGAGGTGCTCATTGTGTAGTTACGTGCTAGCATTCTACTAGAAACTAACTACATGTAACTCGCATAGCTAACAATGCAGTTAGCATAATGGGAGTACACCTACGCGCGAAATCGGAACGGTGCAGGTGGAGGCTGAGAACCCGAAGGGCGGGGTTGCGCCGATGGGTCGAAAAACGACCTGCTCAGACTGCTCGCGCTTCTGATCGATGGAGGATCGGTGGAGCGGAAATCCCTCCCGCTTGAGTCGACGAATCCTGCGCTTGAACGTGGAAAACGACGGCTGGAGTCCTGGCCGTGGACCGTAGCAGCGGCAAGGGCGGCGATAACGAGGAGCTGAAAAACCTTCATACTTGGAGGTGGGAAGCTGCACCGGGGCGTTTGACACTTCGAAGTAAAAGTGAGAATGAAGCTTAAGTGCTGTATGCGCCAATGCCGGAACTGTAGGTATATACGAGGCACCATTGCTATCGAAGAAGTAGTTTTGATCAGTGAAAAAAATAAAATCGTGCTGTTGAAGTGACAGGAAAAGACACCAGAAGTTGCTCTGGCGCAAACTCATTTACCAGGACGTGTCACTTTCAACGCTGAGGCCTTGAACTGCCGTGAATTGGGCCGTCCTTTGCTGTAACATTTGCTGCTAAGGATCATTTGGTTTGTGATTTGAAGCTCCTTGGTGCATGACGTTTCGCTCGACATGTTGGCAGGCCTGCACGTCAACCCCATGTCCAGGCATAATATATTATATGTCGCGATGGATTTATACACTGTAGATGGTGCCAGTGAAAAGCATTCGAACCAGAATTGCCATGACTAGGTACATTTATCTACTCCGTACTTGACAAAGTGGAACACGAAATCACTTCAAAATTACGATACCGGACCAAATAATGTCACGGTTTAATCCACAGTACGCTTGTGCACGATTCCTGCATTGAAAGTACGCAGCGCTCAAGTCTCGTTCTGGCTTTTACTTCCATCACCCACGTCTCCGCTATTTTATTCTAAGTATCAGTGTGAACGGGTTCCAACTCCTCGTTTGGGGTATAATTCGAAGTATACAAGGCCGGGTGTTTGTGCAATGCACGGTGCATCACTCTTCCTCTCGACATTCATATCGAGGCATTTGAGTATGTAGACAGGGGCTCATCCGTCGTGCCGGAATTGCGAGCTCAACACGTTATAGATGGGCTTAATCTTGACGACCGTATGCACGAATATCACGATAACATATCTTTCACCTGTTACTACTAGTCAACACTATCGCAAATTCGATGGGGCTTCTGAATACGAGTAGTCGTGCCTCATCATGAGTTCGATTTCTGTATCGGATTTATGAAGCGCTCAAGTCTCATTCTCTCTGCTTTTACTTCCAAGCACCCAGGCATCTAAGTCTTCATTTCTCCTCCCCACCACTCTGTATAAAGTTTCCTGCTTCGACCACCGACCATGGCCGTCAGAGCATCGATGCCCTGTTCGCTCCACCGAACCCAGACCGAGAAAGAATCCGCCGTCGGGCGTATTGATTCCCATTAGTGAACCGTCAATAATGGTCCGCATTAGCACTGAAACTGTCATCAACGACAGTGTCGTAAAAATGCTAACACGATTAAGAATGCAACGGGCACCGCGGATTTGTACATTCTCCAAAGCTGAAGCCACATAGCTTATATAGAACCCTGCAAGGATTGGTTCAGGTCTCATGTGATTCGAAACCACTGTTTTAGGTCAGGCTTGGCGGTTTGTATGCATGACTCTCTATGTAAATGCGACTACAGTGCCGACGACACTGTAATCGCTGACCAAGCCTTCGAACCGGAATTACGATGGCTACATTGTATTAATGAGCTATATACAACGGTCCCACGATGTCACATCAACATCAGGATAGTATTTTCTTTTCAACTGTCCACACGACCAATACCACTCCATCTTCACTGGGGTTCTGATCATGATTATTATTTGAAAGAGCTGAAGTCTTCGGTATTCCTTCCCTCATCATAACTTCCGGTTTCTTAACTTATTGTCATCGTCACACTCGCCGCCGCAGCCGTCAGCGGTCAACTCATTAGACTTCCTGCATTAACGAGCTCAATTAGAAGGATAATATACTATCAAGCAGCGCGTCCGGTTCAGCTTCTTCTCCTACAACTCCTCCGACTTTCTTTAGTTTGAGAATGAGAAGTAACTACCTACAGGCTGCTACGCGGATACTTGTGCTAAAACTTGGGGTAGTGATAATACTAAAACGCGACTATCGCAACAGCAAACGAGCACTACCGACCAAATATCAATCGTTCTAAAGTCTAGATTTACAGTGTAGGCCTAGGAAGAAGTGATGTCCACGGTTCAAATTGCCCACTCACCCTTACACACTCACGCATTATTTGCTGGATACCGTACCAGCAATGGAAGCCCTAGAAATTCTCGCCGTCGCTACTCCCAACCTGGATGCGGTTGAAAGTGCCTCTCAAAAGGATTTGAACACCTCTGCTTTGAGTGACGGGTCTGGGCGTGCACGACTAATCCAACCGACCGCGTTCGGTTCCAATATCGCTCAGTATTCACGACTGTGGCTGCAGTATAAAGCGCTGATACGCCGCCTCCTTTTAGTTATTTGCTGGTAGTAGGTCTAGAATCTAGATTCTAGACATGAGCATTGTTGTATTCACGGCCAGCACGAGGCCCCCGACGTGCATATCTGTTTAAAATAATGTACGTCGTAGTCTTCACGGGCGACTTTAGGTTGCGTTCTCCTGCAAAATCACCACCAGTCCAACTAGTTATGTCCAGAAGAAGGCAGTAGTGGCATCGAGGTAACGACAACGTCCTAAGTATTGGTGAGCCAGAGACGCACTCTTTCCATTTCTCCAGCTCCGAGAAAACGTAATGTTTGTGACATCCAGTAATGACCACAGGGAGGACAGGCGGCTCGCTCCTTCCAAGAAATCTTCCTCATTTACCAGAAGATGAGGAAGATCCAAGTCACAGCTTTCGCTGCTCGCAGCGCTGAGACCTTGAAGCTGTCGTGGATCGAGAGGCTCATTTGGTGGTGCGACGTGCATGGCTCTTCCTCTCGACATGTATGAGACCTTCGTGACTCCCAGCAATTCGTCTTGTTGTCGTGTATGTAGCCGGTGGCAAAGCCAGAATTGCGATGACTACATTTTATAGATGAACTTTATCTTGTCAGACGGGTGCGCCGATGCACTTCAACATCACGAAAGCAGTATCTTGTTGCCACTTGCCACCAGTACGCGGCACTCCAGTCTCATTCTCACTTTTGCTCTCAAGTGTCTAAGTCTCCACTCCTCCCTACTACCAGAATGAAGGTCTTCCAGTTCCTCGTCATCGCTGCTCTCGCCGTCGCAGCCGTCAACGGCCAAACGTCCGCCGCTACCTCCACAGCCGCCTCCGCTGCTGCTGCCACTACGTCGGCCGCTACCTCGACCGCTTCTTCGGCTGCTGCTGACACGGCCGCCGCCACGTCCACCGCCGCGTCCGGCATGGACAGCAGCATGAACATGGCGTCCAGCGGCACGGCCGAGGCCACCAGCACGGCTGGATCCGCCGCCGTCGGCTCGGAGGACTCGGCCACGGAGTCGTCGAGCGCCACGGAGTCCTCCACTACGGCGGACGCTAGTGCTTCGGCCTCAGCCTCAGCCTCGGGATCGAGCGGTGCTTCCCAGATCTCCGGAGCCATGGGAGCGGCCACCGCTGCCGTGCTGGCTGTGAGCACTTACTTCCTCTAAGCTACGGCTGTAAGGACAACTCGGCGGGTATGATGGATCCTCCAGTACAGCAACGTCCGCGTGACGCAGACATTCGACGTGTATATTGTAGATAGCAGGCCGCAGCTCTAATGGGCAAATAGACTCCTGTGTTGCATTTCCAACTTTGCTGCAAAAAGATACCCATTTTCACTGGTCGCCTTTCAGTAATCTCGCACATGCACCCAGTCTGGATTTGCTTTAGGCAAATAACTTCGTTTCCTTCACTTTTGGCTGGCAAATGTGCAAAACGCATCATGGCAAAAGAGCATTCTCCTTGAAAAAGTCAATGGGTTAACTTTCTGGCAGCGTGACTTCGCTGGCGTGCGGTCCGTCTGGAGGACACCAAGCTCACCCTCGTGCTATCTGATACGCTGTCGAAGCGACTGCCAGGGCCGCTACATGCAAAGACGGCAGTCTGGTGCCCTCACGTCGAGCGACAGCATTGGCGGCAGGCACCACAAAGCAACAACGCCACACCAAGAGGCAAGTTGCTGCTGACTATTGTCAGAAAAGGCAACTTCAACAACTCTACGAATTAACGCAAAACGTCGCAGATTACATTTCCACCAATCCAGTCGCTTTCCTCTCCGACCTCTCGTCCAATCACATTTTAGATACCGAATTCAACCCGACGAAATAGGAACCCTTACCAATTGTCCTACGACGGGAACAAGTGCGGCGCGCACGCCATGCTGCATCTGGAACATGGTCGCCACGTCCTCCTCGCTCTAATGCGCTGCCAGCAGCAGCTCAGTTCATTCTCACTTTTACTTCCAAGTCCCAAAGTCTCCACTACCAACTCCACCCCCCCCACTCTAAAGCCATGAAGGTGTTCCAGGTCCTCGTTATTGCCGCCCTCGCTTTCGCCGCCGTGAACGGCCAAGCCGCCACCTCGACGGCCGCTTCCACTACCGGATCGGCCGCCGCCACCGCCACCTCGGCCGCTGACGCCACCGCCACGTCGGGTGCTGCCGCCACCACGGCCACTTCGGGCGCTGACGCCACCACCGCCGCCTCGGGCGCTGTGGACTCGACGGTCGGTGCCACCAGCACCACGGGCTCGGCCGGCACGGTGGGCTCCAGCACGACTGACACGACCTCGTCCAGCACCCCGGACTCGTCGTCCACCACCGACAGCACCACGTCCGGCTCCACCGCTGCCAGCGCCTCGGCTTCGGCTTCAGGCTCGAGCGGCGCTGCGCAGATCACCATGGGCGCGGCCTGCGCCACCGTCATGGCCGTCGGCGCCTACTTCCTGTAAACTGTCTGAAAAGAGCCGAGCGGAGTGGCCAAGTGCCCATTTCGACCAAGTTTTTGGGTTTTTCTAGTTGCAGCACTGTAAAGCGCAAGCAATAGACGTTTATTTGCTGGTTTTTCCTCTTGTTGCCGGGATAAGAATGAATGTTGTTGCTTTTGACTTCAAGGATCGATGAAGCCTGAGAATGGCACTGAGAGCGTTCGGACGATGGGAAACTTTCGCGAGGTTGAGCCAGCACACGAGGCAGAAGCATAGAGAGCTCTTTCCACAAGCGCCTTCTCTCTATCGGACAGCCTTGCGGTTTGTCCAAGCCCCCCAGACAGTCATGTTCGCATGTTTCCTTCGGCAATACCCGAGGGGGTCATTTCGCTGCACGGAACTCTCTTTGCTAAAAGGATGTCCATACGGATCGCCTCTACACCCAGTTGCAACTCATATTTTGTGCCACAAATTTCACATACCCTGTCTTATCCGATACATTACTTAAAACTATGAAGTAGATGCACAAGTTGAGCAGTGTTATTAGAAACAATACCTTTCAAACTACCTAAATGTACCTAACCGGATTATCGAGGAATTGCACTGTACTACCAACTTGTCCTTCATGACGAGAGAGAAGCTCCGCTTGCCTTGGTGTCATTGAAGCATGCAGCATTTCCCACAGGCCTGTCCACGTGTCCTTACGCTTTTCCTATTCTTCAGGTGTCCGAGAGATTTTCATGTGTTTGAGGATTTGCCCAGCCACAAAACCACAAGTTGATGTGGTTCGTATGGCATACGAGAGAGAGGCGAACATGGGGCTCCGTATCCTAACAGCGTCACCTCTGCCTCTAGTACATCCGAGCGATGCACGACGAGTTCCTCATTCCCATTTCCACTTCCAAGTGCTCAAGTCCCAACCGACTCCGTCTAAAACTACCTGTAAACCATGAAGTTCTTCCAGGTCCTCGTCATCGCCGCCATGGCCATCGCCGCTGTCAACGGCCAGTCTGCTGCCAACACCACGCCGGTCACCACCCCTGCTACCGGTTCGACGGCGACGGGTTCGGCTGCTGCGACCACCGCCGCCTCCTCTACTGGAGCCACGACCGCCCCTGCTACCGGCGCCACTACGGCCGCTTCTGGCGCTGTGGACCCCGCGGTTGGAGCCAGCAGCGCTGCCGTTGACACCACCGTGGGTTCCTCCAGCTCGACGGTGGACGCCGGCGCCACGACGTCCACTGCCGGTTCGTCGACGCCCACGACGGACTCGTCGTCTGAGACGCCCTCGAGCAGCTCCGACAGCTCGACGGAGGCCTCGGCCAGCGCTTCCGGCTCGAGCGGCGCCGCACAGATCACAATGGGCGCTGCCTGCGCTACCGTCATGGCTGTCGGTGCCTACTTTCTGTAAACCGATTGTTGTGATTAGCTCTTGAGAGCAGGAGCCGAGAGTTGATCTTTTTGACTCGGTTCGCTGTGATATAGCTGTATAAGTGCAAACACGACACGCGCTAGTTACTGTGTTTTCGATTGCTTCAAGAGTTCTTTTTTTTTAACCCTCCAGTATGTTGTTCATGAAATAGCGCTGATGATCTAAATCGAAGTGACAGTATCTAGGTGAATCGGATCTTCACGAACGAAAAGGAATATTATGAGCGATATAATCATGCTACTGTTATCCGGACACTTTGAAAGCGATGTCGAAGTTCTAACAGAAATGCAGGACCTAACAAAGATCACCAGTAAGATTGTGCAATTTAAACGTACGTGTACTACACGGTGTAGCACCAGTCATGGCAACGTGGACGAGCTGCTTGGCAATGGCACAAGGCATCATCGGAGAAACGAGGGCCTAAGATTGTCAGAAGGATTTTAAAAGTTGGCCCTGCGAATGGCAACGAAAATGCGATGGAAAAGCATGGCCAAAATTCTGAAAGGCGTTTAACATTGCATTTGTTATTGTCTAGAAATAGAAGTCTCAAAAAGGTACGTTGTGAAGTAGGCCGCTGACATGACATCCATCCTCGACATAAGTTTATATAATGCAAAATATAAATATATTTAGAGAGAGAGAGTTATAATACATGTTCTCGTTTCGTGCCTCTGTACTTGACCAATTGTAGTACTTAGCATAATTTGTTCGACTGTAAAAGCTTAATTAGAAGCCCCTTTCTGTTTTAACCCCGGTTCCAATATCGTGCAGTATTCACGACTGTGGCTGCAGTATAAAGCGCTGATACGCCGCCTACTTTTAGTTATCTGCTGGTAGTAGGTCTAGAATCTAGATTCTAGACATGAGCATTGTTGTATTCACGGCCAGCACGAGGCCCCCGACGTGCATAT